TGCATCAGTAACACCAAAATAAACAAATCTTCATGTACACCTATACATATCAAAAAGGAATTTCCGTCTAAGATAATGGAAGATGCGACAGTTGACAGAAAATGTCTAAATCACCAAAGCTCAAGTCATGAAAACTGGAATGATTGCAAGTGTTTAGTCAAGAAATAATAGAGTACCTTCTGGACCTTCTCAACCTCAGGAAGCATGTCAATTTCAACTTCTTCCCAAGTGAAGACTCTGTTCTATTTTTACTTGAAAATAACTTCTCCTGTGAACAAAAGATGGGCACGTTCGAAAGAGATGGCGAGGAGAGAAAATGGAAAAAATGCACATCTTCAAATGTTAAGCAACAAACTCGAAATTCAATAAACAAAGTTAGCTAGTGCAGGTCCCCCGAGTAATGGGTCTTAATGCCATAGCACCCAAAGTAGTCAGTATCATTTGAATACAAAACGTTTCCGATACATTAGCTCACCCCAGATATTTGGCATCACTGAAAAAAAGAATTAATAGGTTGCAGAGTATCACACTACAATCTCAAAACTCAACAGATAATAATTACATCATTAAAGCTGAATCCCAAATGCTTAAGGTTTGTACTTGTTGAATTAACCAACAAGGACCAATTTTTTTCTATTTCATCTGGAGAAAAGGGTAAATGTCATTAGGAAACAAAAATAATTTTCTATTAGAAGGACCATGAGAATAAAGAAAGAGCAGGAACTAAACCAGCATAATTACTGCCATCCACAAGCCAAACATAAAAAGCAGGACGATGTTGGCACGCTACTCATAAAGAAACCGCAATAATATACCAGAGTTGTTAGCTTATGCATCAATGGCCAATGTGGTTAATTACGGAGTCGAGTCAATGTACCAAAAATATATTTTGAGAGAAACCACATTCTATCAAACACATAAAGTGCTTCCAAGGAAGCCTAAGAAAAAAGACATTATTTTTGGATAACTAAGCACTTTACTTGGTATAACTTTTTCTTCGGACAATTCATCCATCACATTCCACCAGCTCTTAAAACATTTGTTCACTGCTCATATACTTCAACAAGGTCGCTAAATTACTCTATTAGCAACAACAGCAAGCATACGACCATAATCTATAAATGCATAATGGTGCCTGGATATATGTGAGTTTAAATTTTCCCCTATAAGCCAAAGCAACAAATAATCTCATTTTCCCACAACTACTAATCTTATTAGAAGCAAATTCAAACTTAAGGAGGAGTTACCACAAGGAATTTAAAAACTGTAGACATCCACAAAAAATGAGCACAGAATCATTGCAGGGGTATTACATTTACATGTGAGAGAAGAATTAATGGTTGTTTGGATCCCCACAAAGGGGAAAAAAACAATACAACAAACCATGTTAGCACACACTCACACATAGATGATATTGCATAGCTGGATTTAGATTAAATAACTGAGCTTTGAAATTCAACAAGACGCACAAATGAATTAAGGAGCGTTAGATGGGTGGATTGGGGACAAGGTGTTCGAAGTTGCATTCCTGTTGCACAAGCATTTTAATAAAAGAATTCAGGTCACCAAAGAGTTCGCATTGTGCCCCCTCTGGGGCATTCTAACAAAGTCTTATACATAAAAAAATAATCAACAAAAAAATAATTTTGTATTATAATATATCTACTCTCCCATTTGTCTTCCCACTGAAGTCTAATAGCATTTGAACCCAGAATCCATTAACTCCAAATCCACCATTAAAATGAAACTCACAGAGATGGCATTGCCAGGACACTACCTAGAAATCCACCTTTCAATCCTTTAGCCCCCCACTCCAAGGGAGGACAGGAAATGGAAACATCACCAACAGATAAAGAGCCCCGAAAAAAAACTGTAATCACATAATTCCTGAACCTGAAAAGGTTGCAAACATACTCCCAGTATCTCATTTTGAATTCTAATTCCCACCTTATATTTTTTTTTTCTTGAATAAAGAAGTTAACCTGACTGTAGTATTACCTGCCTATAGTCCTTCAATTATGCAATCCACACTACTTTGTGGATGTCACTCAATCGTCTTATAAGAGGCTGTTATTGCCCAATTATCTACCAAGCTCACACTCTCTCCTACAACTTAAGAACCTGGGTCCAACGTGATGGAAGATGTAAATCAAGTATATATACCCCTTGAATGGTTTGGACCACTCAAAGTTGGTTTATATACTTGCAAGGTCACTCGACCTATTGACAATTAACTTTGAGTTGGATGTTCTAACACTCCAAACTATGAGACTACATCACAGCTTATTTTGCTTCAATCCACAGCTGGACACTTGTCAAAGGAGCCCACAACAGAAATCACTTGAAAGCTCCTATTTTCTTCCCTCTGTAATTTTGGTATAGAGCTAAGAATTTACAAATAGACAAAAGAGGTGGAAAACCAAATAAACTTGTTGGCCAACCATGCTGCTTTCACCAAAGGACAATTCATCTCACATTCCAAGGAGAGGACATTCGATCAAGTTATTATACCAGATAAACCCAAAGAGATTTATTCATTAAATAAACAAAATATTCACGATCCATGTTAGCATACGTCAGGGAAATAACCACCTAACTCAGACTGAATCCCACTAATCTCCCCCCCCCCCCCCAAAAAAAAAGAAAAAAGAAAAAGAAAACACATTCGCAGCCCCCAGAGTGAAAAATAAAGAAAAAAATGAGGCTATTTTTATTTATCTCACCGAACATTTCTGTTTCTGAAATTAATGAGAATCATAGACAGGCTTTGTTTCAATTCATATAAGACCACATACCAAAACTCAATTGCGTCAATGAAGATCCTCAACATTAGATTAGAGAAGTACGCATACACACAGAAGGCAGATAATGTATGGCTCTCCATCTTCAACCCCAAAAAACTTTGCCTAAATCTTCATTCTAATTTTAAACTCAACAAGGAGGAAAACAGGAAAGGTTGGAATACAACATGAGTTTAGTGTTCAATACCAATTAAGATTGTTTCTTCTCTTGAATTAATTCAGGAATTTATCTAAACGTTGTTTTCTCGATGTTTGTTGTGGAAAACAAACACCAAATGTAAGAAGAATCAGGTTCCTTTCTCCTGTTTTTTACTTCTAAGTTTTGGATAATAATTGATGCATATATAGTTCAAGATGTGTTCCCTTTCAACCTTAGCAAAAGATTGTAAATAAAAGAGAGGAAGCATTTAGCATTTAATTTTAGAACATTAAAACATGGAGGTATGAATGCACATAACATTGACTTACAGAAACATCTTGAAATTCATCCAAACTTGTTGCAGCGGTTTCCCACTGGTAAGATGAATTAGGAATACGATGTACATTTTTTCCCTTTCCTTTCTTAACCTCCACTTTTCTAATCTCTCGGTACAACCGATGACCAATGATAGGATCATCTTCATACCTACACAAAAATGAACATAATTAATGTGCAGAATAGAACAATGCCAACAATAGTAAGAATAACCACAAATATAAATACAATGCTTATCATGTGAAGGAAAATATCCACATGAATCAAAAAGACATAGACCACCCAGATATGCAACCTAAAAAACCTATATGTAATTTACGATGCCATACAAGCAAATTACCAATAAGATATTCCATGAGAATCACCCCCAATACGTTCTTTTCGAAATGCTGAAAGATGAACACCGTGTTTTATTGAGTTGTCTATATAGTTCCGAATATCTTCTTGCTGCAAAATAGAACCATAATTAAAGCTTCATTATGTGGAATTGAAAACAAAAAGGAAAAGAAAAAATCAACTGGAACTTTCAGAACTAACTAATATCACACCTTCCGGTATTTTTTTCTTTCTAAAGTGCTAATCTTGACATTTTGTCCAACGCTATACTTTTCGTGGTTTAGAAAGAAACTCGAATTTCATTACCGCCTCCTTAACTAACACATTTTCATGGTTTCTGTTCTTTTCTTTTATCAGGGCAAAACCTAAGAAACACCAATAATGTGCTCCTAATGGCATACAATCAGGGTCATGTGTTAGGATCTCGTGCAATACATGTGTTTTTAATTCTGGTGTTAAAATGAACAATCTACCCACTCAAGGGGAAAAAAACAAATGGCTTGGTGTTCCTAGTAAAGAGTATTTGGAAAAAAAATTATGTAAAAAAATACATGAAAAAATGTTTTGTGACAAAATTACACTGGAAGATAATGCTTCAGCACTAGATCAAAGAAGTAAATGACACGCCCCAGCTTGTGCCGGAAAGATCATTATCCATGCTGTAAACCCATACATCAGCATATCATAACACTGAATCCAAACTCAAAATAGCCTCTATAAGCAGGGACTTTAGATATCTGGAGTGAAATCAACATATTATGATGGCAAGGAAACAGGTCAGGCAGCAAAAAATTTTGATATTAAAAAAATTCAGAAACTTGATACCTCAACACGGATATCACATAACGCTTTTAAGATCATCACCCGAACCCCAGGATCAAGTGCATTATATGCTTCAACCTCAGCCCTAATAAATAAATTAAAAAAAACCCATAAACACAAAGAATTTATGTATACTTGAAAGTCACAAGAATAAATATTTTTTCCCAGGAAAGTCAAAAATAATTGATTACCCATGGGATGCGACTATGGGTAGTTCCCCATTTGCAACCTGAAATAGAGTACCGAACAACCAAGTGAAAATTCAGTGGTTAGTACTAGAAGTATGGTATCTATTCAACTCCAATATCCACTCAGTTTCAAGGAGGAGGAATTAGGTTACCCAATGCCACCAATCTCTCAACTTTCTGCATAAAACAGTTACCCAAGTGTTGTGTCCAAGTGCCATTCGAGTAATAGGAGGGATCGACTGTAAAAATGAATAAACAAATACTGCAAAGCCTGTTACAGTAGCACATCACCAATAAAGAGAACACAATTTTGTATAAAAGAAACAAACAGAATATGGAACATGTACTTTGCTGTAAACACACATTTTATCTCAATATCATACAGCTGATAAATTTCAAAGCGTGTAAAATTAAAATCCGTGACTTAGAATCAAGATCTTTTAGGACTCATATTTCTCACAAGTCAAGCGGATATCCCAAAACAATTACTTAAAAAAGCACAAACAGTTGGCTGACAAATCTGTCTCCGTCTAAGTGATAACAGAGTGGAAGTTAACAGTGTACATGTAGTAATGAGGTTAACCTAGTATACCATGCACCATCACAACTGATAGACAAGAAAGGACATGTTCTTTTTAAGCATAGGTTTTATACAGAATATATATTAAGAAGATCTTGAAAAGGGCCCATAAGCAAACAGCATGCCAAATTTCACAATAAGTTTCCTTTCCTAGAAAGAAGAAGAGAATCAGTTTGCAGACGAGAAATAGCCCATCCCAAATTTCTACACTAAATTTCAAGTATTTGACAGACTTCAGCCTCCAGGCCCTCCACTAAGATTGCCATAGGTCAAGCCAAGCTCACATTACCTTGCTCGACCTCAACTCATAACCCTATAAAATGTTAATTGCTTCATCTTACTGGGTAACATTTACACCTACAACATTTTATCTTCTTTAGATAGAAAGGAACTGTTCCTTACCTATCAATGCATTGTGGTATCAAACACTAGCAGTAAAAAGGGATCCATTGAGATCGATTCCAATTGGGCACCCGTAAAATTTTTCATTTTATGAGACTATACACATGCAAGATGTATTGGGGGTACAAAAAAATCCTTCTTTTATAATCACATCTACTATGATATAGAAAGAAAGCGCTCTTAGTTTAGTTTGGTAGAATATGGGTCTCCAAAACCTAATGTCGTAAGTTCAAATCCTATAGAACTTGATTTCGAATCATTAAACCCTATTACCGAGATATGACAACTCTTTTTCAAATTGTATTGTAATAAGAATTGTGTCATTTTGAAAGTCCATTATTTTAGGGAAAAAATGGAAAATCATTTCTATTTTGGAATAAACAACGATTAACTAACACCTTGACTTTACTTTAACTCAATAGATTTCGTAGTATGTTTCTTAATTGCACATAATATCTCAAATGAAAATAGAAAAACTCTTGCACGATCGCTCGAAGAAATCATCAGAACTCCCTTGGCCTAGGATAACTGGGTGGCCTCCTTGCATATAATCATCAATACTAACACAGGAATAGTGAAACATGGTTATCAAAATCCCGATCTGGATCCTAGGATTTTATGTTCCTATGATTCGATATAAGCAAATTGATCCGAGTCTCTTGTAAAATCTCAAATTCGTAGGATCTTAATAGATCCTAAGATCTTGATCTGAACTGCGATTTTACTGATCCAAATTGTTGAATTTATTTGTTAGGCACATTTAGTTACTGAGCAATCCAATCCATATTTTTCATTTTAATAGTTAAGGACTCAATTCAAATGTGAATGTCTTATACAATTGTGAGTCCAGTGGAGAATTTCAATGGATGAGAAAAGCTACATAAATTTTGTTTCGTTTACGAAAAAGTTTCTTTATTCATTTATCCCTCGTGTTGAAAAATTGAAAGCAAAAGTTAGATTTAATCTTCTTTTAGTAATTATAGCCTGGAGTCTTCTATTTTTATTCTTTTCTACTTTTTTGCTTGGTCAACTTTCCAATCTCTCCTCTATATCTCTTTTCATAAAGGTTAAGATTAAAATACTTCAATTCTTCTATTCCTCTTTGCAAAATCTCACAAGATCAATAGTGCATCTTTGATTTTAAACCCTCTTTAATACTCAAAGTGTACTTTATCAAATTTCAATCTTAAGTTCTATTTTTATCATAATATCCCTATTTTCATATATACTAGGATTTGTTTAATTTTTGTTTTTGAGAACCTTGTGATGCTACATGTGTTTTTCATCTCATTTTCTTAGTTGATAGTGACTTATGATTCTCGATCTGATCCCATGATCCCAATCTTGTACCCTCCCAATCGATCCAAGATAGGATCCCGATTTTTAAAACCTTGAAGTGAAATATCATTGTTGTGTTCCTTTAACATTCAAGACGATAAAAGCAACATTAGAAACGCATAATGGAATCCCCTATCATCATATGACTAGCTAATTCTAGTCTTGAAAACCTATACACGACGGATAATTAGCTAGTTGGGAAAACTATTAATAGAAACAAAAAGTACTAACAAATGAGCACTTGTAATTTCCAGGAAAACATAGTAGTTATGTCTATTTCCAGATAAATACCACCAAGTTCACAATAAATCCATTTTCCAAAGTTACATCTACATGAATCAAATTCTTAAAGGTTTGGGGAATCATAAGGGTTACATAGTATCGGTCCTTTTCCCACACGACTTACTTCCCTAGGATTTTTCAGCAACATAAAATAAAAATCATACTGTTCTCACAACTAGTCACTCTAAGCAAATGGCTAACCCCAAACAAGTTACTTGAAGAAAAGTAAGGTATCCCAAGAAGTAATTCACTTGTAAAAGTTGAGACCATGCAAACTTGCTTTCAAAAGCAATAGAAGTTCTTCGAAAACACTTCAGATGAAACCTACGACTCTCAAAAGTAACATACCAAAACCAAGACCTCGAATGAGTATAACAGCATTACAAACTCTAAAGAACACAGGTACTCAATTTTGCATCCAATATCACAGTTTGCACCAAAAAACATAGATGTTTCACTTTTGCACATTATTTCTCTCCAGGGTAGTTTAGCTGCCAAACAAATAGCATAAATTTAAAATCATATTGTTTTCAATGTAAGCTATAAATGTAGGATATGCGCTCATTTAGAGCACACTGCAAATTAGCATTCTGGAGAAAAGTTAGTGCCACAAGAAGTAAATTTATTTGCACAAAAGAACTAGGTATACGACATTCAATCACAAAAAACAATACAGTATTTCAAGAACACCATAACACAGTGCCCAAGACCTCAAAAGCATTCTAAATCCTCACTGAGAACTACACTAATCATGCATACCCAATAGAACAAAAGTTCCCAGAATTGCACAAGCTCAATTTACACATCTAAAACAAAAAAGTACCAACCTTCAACAATGGTATATGTATGTCACCCAAAGTATCATTGGGCATGATCAGCGCTGTCTCGAATTCCTCCGCCGAGAACTCCACTTTAATATTCAAAAGATGCCTAAAAACCTACAACAAACAAAACACCAAAAACTCAGATGAAACCCTAAAGTCACACCAGAACCACTATCTCCCCACTAAAAACACAACTTCCACAACTATGATTGTGAATTGTGGAGCTCACATTGAGAAAATTGAGTATTGAAGCCAATTCCCACATTGATCGGAGGCTCCACCGTGGCAACTGTGACGGCTCTGGCTCCACCACCAGCTGTGTCACGATTTTGCTGCATTGTGGCGAGGCAGACGGCGATGGCGGTGGCGACTCCTCTTCTTTCGGAGGCGGAAACCGCTCTTTCCTCGCCGCAGCTTTCCGCTTCCGCTCGGCAGTGGCCACTGCTGCCTCCGCCGCTGCCGCCTCGTATAACCGCGCCGCAGAGCGTGCCGTACACGCCCTCGATGGCCTCTCTCTCCTCACAAAATTATTGTTACTATCATTATTGCTGTTGTTTTGAGTGTTCTTGTTTTCGGTGCTTTGGGTGTTTGTGTTTTGGGTATTGTGAGTGTTTTCGTTGTTTTGGGTGTTGTGCGTCTTGTCAGGGGAAGAGGAATTGGAATGGATCGGAGAGCAGGGGTGGTCGTCGGACATGGTGAGGAGATCGGGGTTACGATTCTCTGCGGAGGAGTTACATAGGAGAGAGATCATGGGGTTGCATTGAAGGGGATTAGAGGAGAGAGAAAGTTCATTTGGAGTGAGAAACAAAAAAAGCAATAAAATAGAAAACAGAGACTTTCTAGCTTTAGGTTTTGAGACAGGGAGAAGTATTGAAGTTACAAAGCATGATCATATACACAAAGGTTTGTGTCCTTCTCTCTCTCTCTTTGTGTTTGGACCTGACGAAAGTGAAAATCTGAGAGGGGAAGGTAGAAATGGAGGAGAGAGAGAATGGGAATTGAAGACGAGTTCGATTTTGTGATTTGTGGGGGTAGAAGAAAGGAAAAAAATTAATTTGAGGTGTGTTTGCAAATATGGTAATTTTGGTGTTTGATTGAATGATCGTTCAGGGTTTGGGAAGTACGATTAGGGCAAAGATGGTTTTTTTTTGGTTTTTTTGGAGGGGCAGGGGGGTTTGGGTTAGATTTAAGATTTTTATTTTATCCTTCCTATGTATTAAACATGATGGAATGTAATGTAGTTATTCGGTTAATTTTCGTTTTTTATTTTGTTATTAATTGAACAATTATTATATTATAACACGTTTAATAAATTGAGGGTCTAATAAAAAAATAATTATTTAAGATGTAAAATAAAAAATTTAAAACATTTCAAAATATAAAATAAATTTTATCTATTTTTTTGTCGGGCACTATTGCAAAGAGAACACAATCTTAAAAGGTATAACTGATAAAATAAAAAAAGATTTCACAAATAAAAACAGTAATTATTAAACCGACGCTAATCTCTGGGATGAACATAGAACACAACATAAAGCTACTAAGATTTTTAGTCATGGTGTCATTTGTAATTGTAGCATTGGATATGTTTGGTAATGAATTGAAGGAGTAATACCTTGTTCAAATTTAATGATGTTCAGCTTGAACCGAGAAAAAAAAATAATTAACAGGTATCAGACTGGAGTGGATGTCTTGAATTCTCTCACCCTTCCGAGTGACTGTCGCGGGACGAATTGTAGTGCCGTGGCATTGTTCGGGCATGTGGGGTAGAGCGTGAAAATCAATTGAGCACATAGGGCAAATGTGCACATTGTGTTGCTGCATGTCGACCTTGTATAGCAGCAAGTCGTTGGTTTTAACACTGACCTTGACTGGTTAATCATATCAGTTGATATCAAAAGAGTTATTGACAAAATTGCTCAAAAGTTTTACTCAAATGACTCGATTCATTCTTTTTTTTTTTGGGTAAGCAACAATTCGATTCATGTGATTTAAATTGATTTATGGGGCAAAAAAGAAAAAAAAAATCAAAATATGCATTGGAAACAATATAAATGGATATGCAAAATTCATTATAATTTGGGATATCTCAAGCGATAATGAAGCCGTACTGGACGTCTTGAGTTCGAATTTTGATAATTTTTTGGAGTCAGGCCATGAGAGATAATTCCTCATGAAAATCCTAGTCCTGACATGGATGATCTGTCTTTAATTGGATAGAATAGGGGAATAATTGAAATGCATGTAAACTAATTCGGATAAATATGATTGTTGAACCAAAAAAAACATCATTTTAATTTCTAATAACTATAGAGTTTCATTATTTGTTGACATTTACTATGTTAAAAGTCCAAAAACAACTATATATATGTTTGATGTAATTTTCGGTGTTTATAGATTCAAAAGTACAAGAAAAGAAAGAGAATACAATGTGTTTATGCAAAATCAATGAAGGATAAATTAAAGATGGCTCAACACAAGTAAATACAAAGATTAAGTGGCTCGGTTTAGATGACCTAGCCAATTGAGAGGAAGTCTGCCCCCTCTAGCTAATGATGCTATTGTGTGGGCAAGCACATTTTGGCTCCTCCTTCCTACCTAGAAGGTAACCTGGGGTATCTGTCTTGCATAAACTCATACGTCATGCACAACTGTAGCAATATCCCATAAAGCATCCTCATTACCTTTACTCAACGTGTCCATAAGAGCCTTAGACTCAGACTCTATGATAACTTGTTGGTAACCATGTTCCAAAGCCAAGCTGCAAGCTCTCCTTACTGCACATGCTTCAGCAACAAGAACAGATTTAGCCGTGAAGGACCGAGCATCCCTAGTAATAAATGAGCCCTTATCATCTCTGACAGCTACCCCATATGCCGCTTGCTCTGTCTTCTCCATCCATGCTCCATCACAGTTGATTTTCATCCATTCCTTAGGCGGACATTGCCAGGGGGAAGCCACCTCCACCGTCTTATCTTTGAGTAATTGCTTATCTTTGTTGTGTAGAAACTCCTCGGTAGCCACAAGAGCTCTATGAATGACCGTGTTATGCTGAGGTACATGATGGTTATAAAACCATTCATTTCTTGATTTCCAAATAAACCAACACATAAATGCAATCATTGGTTGATTCCCCTTACACTGAAACTAGATCAAAAGCCATTCCTCCATCCTTCGCAACTCATATCTATCAACTTTAAGATTAAGAGGAGAGGCCTTCCACATCCAATTGACCCAGGGGCAAGCAAAAACAAATGCTCAACTGTCTCATCCTCCTCTCCACATATAGGGCAGGTAGGATCTTTGGAGAGCCTCCTCTTCCACAACTCCCACGTAGTAAATAACGCCCCATTTAATATTCTCCACATAAAGGATTGGACTTTAGGAGGTACTTGAATTCTCCAAATGATCTTCCACATACTTTCAGGTACTTGATAGGATGATGAAGCCCCAAATCTCGCTGAGTGGTTTTGGACCTTTGCATTAAAAGATGGTACCCATTCCTTACTAAATATCCACCTGAATTTGTATGGTTCCATCTAATTCTATCTTGCTGTGGTGTTTCACTCAGGGCAATTCCCAGTATCTCCTTCGAAACTTCAGGGGGGAAAACTTTAGTAATCAGCTCCATATTCCAATTCTTATCAGGCCATATGATTAGATCATACACTCTTTGAACATTGCTTTGCTGGTGATTTTGAATTCTTTGCAACCCTGGAACCCATGTACCCTCCCAACACCTAACTTGGCTCCCATCCCCAACCTGCCAAATAGACCCTAGTCTAACAAGCTCCCTAGCCTCCATAAGACTTCTCCACCCCCAAGAGCAATTTGGCTTAATCATAGCTTGCCACACGGTAGTTGTAGGAAAGTATTTTGCCTTGAGAAGCTTAGCCCACAGTGAATCTGGACTCTGGATCAGTCTCCATACCTGTTTAGCAAGCATTGCAGCATTAAAATGCTCTAGATTTCTAAAACCCAAACCCCCTTCATCCTTTCTTCTAGAGATGTGTTCCCATTTCTTCCAATGAATTCCTCTCTCACCAGATGCCTTACTCCACCAGAATCTTTTGACATTAGACGTTATCTCTTGGCAAAAGGCTTTAGGAAATTTAAAGATTGACATTGCATATGATGGGATTGCTTGAATAACTGCTTTAATAAGTACCTCCTTTCCAGTATGGTTCAGAAGCTTCTCCTTCCACCCAGCTATTTTAGCCATAATTCCCTCTTTTAACCACCCAAGAGGCTACTTCTTAGATCTCCCCCATTGTGTTGGCAGGCCAAGATACTTCCCAGCTGATTGGACTAAGGGAATCCTGAGGTACTTAGCCAGCTCCTGTTGAATGAGTAGTGGTGTATTTCTACTGACAACCACCCCAGATTTATTCAGATTTACCAATTGCCCTGAAGCATAGCAATATCTATTTAAGACATCCATTAATATCTGGCATTGGTTCTTGCTTGCTATAGAGAAAAAGATAAGAGTCATCAGCAAAAAACAAATGAGAGATGTTAGGAGCAGACCTACTAACCTTAATACCTTGTAATCTTCCATTATGCATTTCTCTGCTCATTATGCTGGATAAGCTTTCAGTTATCAAAATGAATAAATAAGGAGAGATAGAATCACCTTGTCTAATCCCCCTAGAGGGATTCACCAGAGAGGATTTCTCCCCATTAACCACAATGTTATACCTAACAGTTGTCACACAGTACATTATCAAGGCCACCCACCTAGGATCAAACCCCATTTGCAGCAGGAGGTCCTTCAAGAAATCCCATTCCACACGATCATAAGCTTTAGCCATATCAAGCTTCAAGGCCATTTGATATTTCCTGGTCCCTAATCTTTGTCTCATCGAGTGCATCACCTCTTGAGCAATAATAATATTGTCTCGAATTAACCTCCCTTCCACAAAGGCACTTTGATGTTGAGAGACCAGTTGATTCATGAAAGGTTTCAACCTTAGTGCTAGCATCTTAGCAATGACCTTATAGATAAAATTCGAACAACTGATTGGCCTATACTCCCCCACTGATTCAGGATTAGCAACTTTAGGTATTAAAACCACATTAGTTTCATTCAGTTCTCTTAATAAAAAGCCAGATTGGAAGAATGCTTGTATAGAGTCAAAAACTCCACCTTGAACAATAGACCAATATTTTTGGTAGAAATACCTAGTAGGCCATCAGGTCCTGGGGCTCTTAAAGCTCCAAGGCTAAACATAGCTCTTCTTACTTCTTCCATTGTTGGAGCCGTCATCAAGTCTTGATTCATCTCTCGTGTAACAGTTTGAGGAATTCCTGACAGGATTTGCTCATAACATCTTTGACCCTCTGATTTAAATAGTCTCTCATAGTACTCCTGTATTATCTGTCTAATTTTTTGTGTGTCAGTCTCCCATTGATCCTCCTGCCCCTTAATCATAATAATTTTATTTCTCTGCCTCCTCTGAACAGTAGTGGTATGGAAGAATTTAGTATTCCTATCACTCATCTTAAGCCAAACTCGCCCTTGATCTTCGTCCCCAATACTTTTCCACCCTCTGCCATAGCTTTTCAATCTCTGCTTTAATGTTAACCATTTCTATTTGAGAATATTCACTCCCTGAGCTGTTCTGAATGTTAACTAACTGGGCCTTTAAAGCTTCAATCCGTTTCCTACTATTCTTAAAATCGGCTGCACTGCATCCTTTTAATTCCCTTTCACAATTTTTAATTCTTTGCTTGAGCCGATACATTCTGGAACCATGCACAGCTTGCTCCCAACCCTTTCTAACAACATCAGCACACTGGTCCTCGTCCGCCCAAAAAGCCTCAAACTGAAAAGGCTTCTTAACTCTCTTTGTCTTTGGTTCAGTATCCAACATTAAGGGTGAATGATCAGATCCAATAGCAGGAGTTGCCAACACCACTGCATTAGGGAAAGCCATCCTCCAACTTGCAGAAGCCAAAGCCCTATCCAATCTCTCTTTAACTTTGGCAGATCCCTGCCTATGGTTGTCTCAGTTAAATCTGCAACCTTTTGTTTCAAGGTCCATCAGATAACTATTGTCTATAAAACCCCTAAAACTTCTCATCTTTCTTTCCGCTCTATCTCTGATGCCTTCCTCCTCCCCTCTAGATACTATATCATTAAAGTCACCAATACACAACCAAGGGATTTCAATGCTTCTCCCATATGCAGATAGGTAGTCCCATTGCTGGACTCTATTATCATAGTTTGGATCACCATACACAAAGGTAAGATGCCAAGAACCTTCAGAAAGTCCTGCATTCACTGTAGCATGAATATAGTTCTTATTAATTTCTTCAACTTCCAATATACCACTTTCATTCCATAGGATACATAATCCTCTTGATAGCCCAACTGGATCCACAACAACTTTTTTGGAAAACCCCAACTCTCTTCTAATTTTCTCAACTCTTTCTGCTTTGATTTTTTTTTCACATAGGCATACCACTTGGGACTATACTGGACACAAAGGTCCCTTATTGCCTGAACTGTCAGGTAGCCCCTAACCCTTGACAGTTCCAAGCAATTAGCCTCATGGCAGAGTTGGGGGCATGTTGAGGCCAGCCTCCTCGGCCATTTCAGAGATTTCTGCATTCCATTCCACACACACATCATGAAGTTGGTTCCTTCATGTGCTCCTCACACTCTTTGTAGACTTTATTCCTCTGAATTTGTGCACAGATTTTCTTCCTGCTGGGGACTCATATTCCTTCCTGTCCCCTTTTATCTCTACATCATTCTGCATCACCCTTACATTTTCATCTTGCACAGTAATACTTACACTTTCTTCCTGCCCTCTTATACTATCAACAGCTTCCCGTACTACATGGAATCCATCTTCTCTTCTCTGCACCTTGCAAATTTTTATTCCTAGGCCAATGTTCTGGGAGGTGACATTTGAGAGACAGCTTATGGAAAACATGTGCCATACAGTGGTCAACTGTCAACTCTGGTTGGGAAGTCGGAATGGAGTGTATAGTGTTCAAAAACCAGCCAAAGCCTCTCGCTCTGAATTCCTTGTATTTTCCTCTTGCTTGCAAGGCTCCCCTTGAGCTATAGGTTGAGATATAGTAGCATGTATACCACTGGGTGATGGGCTTTCTGGGTTGCCAATTTAAAGGTAAATGGGTTTTGGTGGGTGGGCTTTCTGAGTAACCAATTAACAGTGGTCGGGTTTTGGCGGGTGGGCTTACTGGGTTTTCAATTGCAAATGATTGGTTATGTGGTTTTGATGGGCTTTTTGGGCTAGCACACAACATAGGTTGAGTATCCAGGTTTGGGCTTGAATTTGTGACCAGATGGGTTAAGGAAGAGATAAAGGGTGTTTGTGGAAATTCATTCTCTGCAGGATAATCTTGTAAATGGGGGGATCACAGCTGTTTCCTTAGGGTTAACATCGTCTAATCCAGTGCTAGAGAAAGAAGCACTATGATTATGGCCATCAGAAAGGGGTAGACGATACCTTTCCATACTGATTTGCACCCACATCCTTCAGTGCAATCACTCCACCTGTCCTAACCGCCTCATTGGTGTCAGATGAGTGCTCACATTCTTCTGCCGTTACCTGGTCCGAGGTCTGCTCATGGTTGTCTACGACCCTCACCACCCTCCACGCCCTAGAGTGGTTGAGTACGTCACGCGCCGGTAGGACCTCTTCTTGATTCTTCTCCGATGACTGGTACCTTTCTGTCAATACACTTTGTTGAGCTCTCAGATGAGGCCCATACCTTACCAAACTATCATCAGGGGGAGGATTTTTACATTCATATTTATCATGTCCTACAATTCCACACTTATAACAAAAGTCACTCAACCTCTCGTACCTCAGCTCAATCTTCATGTTTGGAGAATTCCTCCGAGGTAACCAAAAGAAAGGTATGAGAGGCTTTTTAAGATCAACCACTACTCTAGTTCTGAGATAACTTTTCCAAATGGACCTCTGAGTCAACGTACTCTGTTCCTCAGAAAGCTTACCAATCACCTGGGCCACTCTAATAGCATTCTCCTCTGTAACCATTTCTGGTGGAAGGCCATGGGCTTGAACCCAGAAAGGGGATGAACTAAAATCAATCTCAGAAATTAGTGTTTTCGGATCCCACTGTTTTATCACTATGATTTGCCCTTTCACTGACCATGGTCTCTGTTTCAACACTTTTTGCCTAAGCCCTTCATCTTCGAAAATAAAGATATATGTATCCAAATTTCCATCCTTAATCTCCAGAAGTCTCTCTACCTTCCAAACTCTGGTCAAAATCGATTTCACCACATTTCGGTTTGGGGATTTTTGGGTAAGGAATTTACCAATAAGACAGGAGTTTCTCACAAAACCAGCTGTATTTTCATCGGACTGTAGCTGGATAATTGGGGTTCTTTGATGGGTTAACTGCTTCGTTGTTGCAGTATGGGTTAGGTTTATATCAAGCGGAGGCAATACCTCGTTTGTTTGTCCTAGCATCCCTAATAAACTTAGATTTAGGACCAAGAAAGAAAACTAGGGTACTCAGCAGAAGATGGGTTAACAACTAAAGGTACTCAGCAAGTTTGCGTTGAAGGCAAGCTCAATAACGACAAACCAACCTTGACCCATGAAAGGAATAAGAGGGAAATGGGATGGAGAACATGAGATAACGTCGAAGGACTGGAGTTGAGGTTCTAAGAATCCATATCATCGGATAATCACCAGTGAGAGGGCTGAAGAATGGGTACCTTCGAGAACAGGAAACCACACCATAGGGGAGGAGTAGAGGAGCTCTACAGACAGAGTGCGAGTTCAACCCACGCCATAGGGGAAGAGTAGAAGAATACTTTTCAACAATTATTTATTAATTTTTTTTGTTGAGATGGTTACTATTTAATATATAAAAAACGTTATATAATCCAAATAAAACCTAAAAATTAAAACTCAAATGCATATAATCTTGAGTGTGGGAAGAGTAGATTCCACTGAAATATTGATGAGACCTATTTATCCAAGAGTTAATATGAATTTAAGTTGTAATTTTTTAGATTTTATTTGAGTTTGTGTATATATATATATATATGTTGATAGAAACATAGTTTTAATGTTAGCACAATTTTCAAGATTTGAGTTATTAATACTAATATAATTCCCAAACAAGTTTTGACTAAATATAATTATTGAAGATATTTTGAACAATAAAGATCAAAATAGATTTATCTCTAAATAAATTTTTTGAGTGTACTTAAGACCAAATAAGTCTACAAAAAAGGACCGGCATCTTAAGCCCCATATGTATTTCAGATATTACCAAGGCAAATAATCAAGTGGAAAACTATGTTAAAATGGGCTATGGACCTCAGCGTTGGGCCTGGACTGCCATCCTTGGGGCAAATTTTTTTTTACTGGTACATGGGCAAGGGTTTTAGCACCAGCAATTTTTAGATTTCGTACTTATTGAAAAAAATATATTTAGATTTGTGTGGATAGCAGTCACGAGTCTAAAGAAATAAAAACATTTGATAGATATATAGGCTTTATTAAAATTTTAGAAACAACTCAATCAAATAAAACCACTTATTTATTTTTGTATTATAGTTGTTGATCGGGCCTCGCCTAACCAAGCACAACCACTCGTTTAACCAACTCCATGAATGTAGCCCAATGATCTGGTTAGTGAGAGTTTTCATTTGGGCCTCAATGGCAATTTTTTTTCATAGGATTAAAAATTAGTGTCGCGAATCTAGTGGATAAGTGAAAATTGAGACTAAATTATCTTTAAGAGACTTTTAAAAAGTTAAGTCTATCATTTAAATTTATTTGAGAATAAATTATATTTTAATCTTTTTGTAAGTAATTAAGTCTATAATTTTTTAATACCTCCAAAATACTATTCTTTAAAAGAAACGTTAATTTAATTTCATTACCCTTAATTTAGTGTCATTAATAAAGATATGCCTTCAGAAACACTTCATCTATTTTTTGAATCTTCATTGATACCCTCTGTCAGATTAAATGTATTAGCTATAATGCAATTTTATTAAATTGTCAATAATATATTTGAGGAAAAACTTTATCAACATCCCATCTAGATAAGTATCTTGAATGAGGCCCTTTTGTTTTTAAAATTTTTTTACTTATTAAAATTTGGAACGGTTAAAATTCGATTCGAGCTAATTAAAATTTTTTTTTACGTATTAAAATTCGAGTCGATTAAAAATTATATTTTTTTAAGTATTAAAATTTGAGCCAATTAAATTTTATTCGAGTAGATTAAAAAATATTTTTATCATTTTTAATCGGCTCAAATCAAATTTTACTCAACTTGCATTAAATTTTAATAGACCTGAATTTTGATACATAAAAAAATACAAATTTTAATCGACTCAAATTTTAATATGTAAAAAATAAATTTTAACCAAGTTGAATTGAATTTTAACTAGCATGAATTTTAATAAATAAAAATATATAAATTTTAATCGATTCAAAGCGAATTTTAATCGGTGCTAACATCTCAGGTAGAACTCAAATTGCCTCGAATTTTAATACGTAAAAAATTAAAATTGAATTAGTTCGAGTTAATTAATTTGAATTTTAATATGTAAAAAAATAAATTTTAATCGGCTTGAATTTTAATCGAATTTATGCTGAAAGATTATTTGATTTTTATGTAGGGGTATTTTAGATAAAAAAAAAATTTTTTTGTTAGAATTGGTGGTTTAATAATAGAGAGTGTTAGTACCGTTTAAATATAAACTAAAAAGAGTGTCAATAATATATTTGATAATAAAGGGGATATTTAGTAAATTAGAAGGGGTGTGAGTGAAATTTTTCCGTAATTTTTTTTTATAAACTTAAAATTAAAATTAAAATAACTCAATTGAACTATTTTTCTCTCCTCTTCGTTCTACTCCTCTCAAGGAGAGAAACATCGGAGAAGAACACAGTACAGCTCGCAAAGGTGTGCTTGTTCTTGGTCCAGCTGCGTATAGGTAAAGCTGGGATTGGACAGCGCATTGGAGTTCTACTGTTGGGTTGAGACACATTTTGGATCGACTTGCTGAGAGATGGCGTGTTTGTTGGCTAGAGGGAATAGATTTAAAGCTCTTTGGGAATTCCTGATAGAAATTTGTCGAGGAAAGAAAATGATGGACTTGTGGTTGTGACTACATCCACCGTTACATTTATTTTTTGTCATGTTACTGTTTTTTTATTGTGCATAATATTTTTATTTTTTTCATATTACTATTTTTTTTATAATATAATTTTTTATATAACAAACATTTTACTATTTATTGTTACTATTTTTTGTTTAAATGTTACTCTTTTATCTCACATATATATGTGTGTGTGTGTGAGAGAGAGAAACAAAATAGTCATAATCTATAGATAGGCTAGTTATTTCTTGCGCCTGAAGGCATATAATAATAAAAAATGATAAACAATAAATATATTTGTATTCATATTTAAAATCAAATTACAAATATAAAGAAGAGATAAATGAATTTAAGCATCGATTTTATAGTGGGAATGAGAGGTGGTGGAAGACAGTGGTGGTGGTAGGAGACGGTGATGATTGTGGTGAATAACAATGACCATGGTAGCGGCGGTGACAATGATGGTGGCGGCGACGACGGCGACGGTGGTGATGGTGACGAAGGTGGTGGCGGTGGCAGTAGTGGTGGTGGGGGGGGGGGGTGGCAACGACAGCGGGGGTGGTGGTTGTGATGGAGGTGATGGTTGTGGCAGCGGTGGCAGTGGTGGTAAATGTAGTTGTGGGACGGTTTCAAACACTATTTTTTAAAAAATATTTATGAGAAATAATTTCTAAAAATACCTTTAAAAAGTCACTTCAAACACACTGTTAGAATATTTTTTCAATTAAATTTATGGTGTTAATATTAGTCGTTAGATTAACTTTAAAATAAAATTTAAAGCAATATCAACCGCGAATAACAAAAGTCATTTTGTTTATCTTTTGAAATTTGAATTGTAAGCTACTTTATTTTATACTAGTTATTATCTGTGCCTGAAGGCACAGAATAATAAAAAATAGTAAATAATAAACATATTTGTATTCATATATAAAATTAAATCACAAACATAGAAGAGATGTGAATAAATTTAAGCATCGGTTGTAGTGGGGGTGAGAGATAGTGCGTGACAGTGATGGTGGTAGGAGATGGTGATAGTTGTGGTGGATGACAATAATCGTGGTGACGGTGGTGGGGGTGGTGGCAGCGATGGCGGTGATAGCAGCGATGACGGTGAAGACGATGGTGATGGTGGCGACGACAGTGGTGGTGGTGGCAACGATGGCGGTGGTGGTGACAGCGATGGCAGGGTGACGGTGGCGGGGGTGGTGACGACGGTGGTGGCGGCGACGACGATAGTAATGGCGATAGTGGTGGTAGAGGTAGTGGTGAGATGGTTTCAAATACTATTTTTTTTAAAAAACAAATACTTATGAGAAATAATTCCTGAAAATACTTTTAAAAAATTATTCCAAACACACCTTTAGGGACCTATATTTATTATTAAATTTGGAATGTTAATATTAGTCGTTAGATTAACTTTAAAGTAAAATTTAAAACGATCTCAACCGCAAATAACAAAAGTCATTTTGCTTATCTTTTGAGATTTAAATTGTAAGTTACTTTATTATATAGATATATGATAGAGAAATAATTTTAATACTAATAAAATTTCAAAAATTTAAGAGCGGTTAGTTTTTAAATTTGTTTTAATTAAATCTAACTATTGAGGATATTTTGGACAATGAAGATAAAAATTGACTTATTTTCAGACCAGCTTTTTGATTGGACTTAGGTCCAAATAGGTCTACAAAAAGAGATTGATTCCCAAATTACCCCTAAAAATAATAGGTTTTGAATGTTATAAAGTTGTTCTAATTTTTTTTTTTATTCAATGATCAAGAGTATTATAGTCAATTATTCTGAACTTTCATTATGACTTTTATTAAACAAAGAGGGTGATGTGTACAGGATGTCAAGAAGTTAAGACTGCTAGTCCATAGTTTGTTGAATAATGGAAATATTTCCTTCCTAAATTTCCTTCATAGATGTTTATATGTTTGACCAAAAGAAGAAACATAGATGTGGCAAAAGCCAACTTTGGATTTCCCAGGACTAACCTAAGCCAACTTAGCCCAATGACCAGGTCTGGTCCAAATGTTATAAAGAAGAGAATTCTGAGCAATGGGTGGAATCCAAAAACTATTTCAAAGGAAAATCAATGGCCTGTCTTTATAACTACAAGTGTCAAAATATCGCCTGACTCGTTAATACGATACGAAATTAGAGGATTTGAATCTTTTTTAAGTTACTCATTTTGTAAACGAATAGACCCGACATGACACGATTTATAAAAGAATCGAGTATAGATGAAATCAATCAAAATAAATACACGATACGACTCGTTTATATACCGGTTATACATAATTGATATAGAACACAAACCCAATATGACACGACTTGTTAAATATAAATTAATAAACGAATCAAGTACAAATAAAGTATTTTTTGACACGATCCTATAATCTACTTCACCCGACACAATTGACTCTTACATTTATAACCATGTTAAAATTTTATCAGAATTGAATCACA